CTGTATCGGGAGTCTATCCTGCAGTTGTTTATATGAGAAACTGAACAAATGGTCATAATAGGTAAGATAAAACAATGGTCACACCTATTTTGGGTTATGGATCTGAACGCTGAAATATGGATATGAAAGAAAATTAGATTTTTCAGAAAAGTAAAAGCTTTTACATGACGTAATAAACACAAAATGAAGAGGTATTACTGAACTAACATACATAAACATAATAAGAGCGAAAGAAAGAAGTATAGAATAACTCTTTAATTTAAACGATTAAACGATAAAGCAAAATTGATTATAATATATATAATATATATATATATATATATATATATATATATATATATATATATATAGTAACGGATTGATTACGGCTGTCTCCGCTTCTACGCCCCCAATTTCCATCTTTTTCTGTCATATGCAGTTGCCTCTTCTAAGTCTATTGCCGCCATTGCTTCATCAATATCGTCAATATCGTTGCGCTAACTTCCTCGTGGTCATCCTCTCTTTATTTTTTCGGGAGGGATCCATTCTAGTACGCTTCTAGGGTCTAGATCTGTACTCTAGCATTCTCTTAACATGTCCGAACCAGATTAATTGCTTTCTTTCTATGCCATCATTGATATTTCGCTCCATTTTTATTTCGTTTCTTATTTGTTCGTTTCTAACTCTCTCCAGTTTCAATCTACCGCAGTTTCGTCTCAGATTTCTGTCGTCATAAGTTTGTTTTTATTAGCTTTGTTGACGTCCCATACTTCCGAACCATAAAGTGTAATACTTTGGACGAAACTGCCGTAAATATATTTTTTGGTTTCTCGTCGAATTGTTTTTTTGCCAGAGAAGAGAGTTTAAGGCACGGGTCGCTGCTCTGCCCTTTTTTTATTCTTTCTCTAATTTCATCTGCGCTATTTTCTCTCTGGTTGAAAATGACCCCCAAATATTTGCAGGATTGTACGCCTTTAATTTTGTCATCTTTCAAGACTAGGTCACATATTTCATCTATTCCCACTGAGCGATATTCACATTTTGTCGTATTCATGTTTAGACCTGCCACCTCATATTCTTCTTGCAGTTTTCTTACCATATAGGTAGCTAAGATCGTAGCTGTCTTCGGCAATGACTACCTGGTCATCCACAAAGAAAAGTGTATATAGCGTTATAAGTGTATTGTGATAATGCGAAAGAAAAAGTGCCCATTCTGTGGAAACAATATGAAGGAGAAAAAAATCAAGCAAAACCGTTTACAGTGATCACGATATGTACCGTTCCCGTCATAAAAAAACTGGTACAACTCTTATAACTGAAAATCGTGTTTTTCAAGTTGTGTAAGTTGATCTTGTCACTGTGTCATTCTAATTTCGAAGGCGATGTTGCCAGTTCAACGAAAATCTTATATCAAACCAGCTAAAAGCAGGGCTGTGAGACAGGTCACAAGTTTTTAGTGTACTAAAAACTAAAACAATATCGAGCATTCTCGATCAGTCAGTCACATTTATATTTATACATTTATTTAAATATACATCTTAAAAAATTCTAGACATGACTTTAAATTTATGCTTAATTTCAAATCGAGAGGTGTGATTGATTCCTTGTAAAGTGTAGCACAAAACTGTATTGAGTTGTGGAATACTACAGTAAATAAAACCCACTGGAAAAAATTAAAATTTAATTTGAAATTAATAAAAAATAAATAATTTTTACAGTGAACAAGTGTGGGATTTAAATATATGTATTACAATTCGAAAAGTTAATATTTTGTCATAGCTCCATTATTTTTAATCACTTCTTGTATTATTCTGGGAACTGAGTTAAATAAATTAAGTGACAAATTTTCATCTTCGGCCAAGCTTTCCCAGGTTTCTTCAATGATGGTCCATAAATGATCTCTATTTTAGAGAACTACATTTAATTTTTGTATTTTGTTGATGATAAGTCCCCAATGCTATTTTCCATAAGGTAATCCCGTGCATACCACCATATTGCGCAGACCACTCCTCCTACTCTCGACGTAGTAATGAGAGTTGCCGTCATTGTAATACATTTGTTTATAATAGGAATTTTATCAATGTTTTAACTTTTGACGTCTTTAATAAGCTTGTAGAAGATTTTGTAGTGTTTTTGTGAAAGTTAGTTTGATTTGTAGGCAATTTAGTAAAAAAGAATTATTATCAAGAATATATTCAACTCACTATGCGAGTTTTTTGAGTGATAGTGGCTTTGTAGGTATACCTACTTTATATGGACATTATTTTGGTCTTTTAGAAATTGTAAATATGGTATGTTTAATTATTATTGAGTCAGTATTTAATACTCAACCATACTTATACCAATCTTGTATTTTTTATGGAGTTTTGCTAGCAATAGTTTACAACGTGAACATAAAATGCGTTGTGCTGCAGCTAATTGTTTAAGTGATAATCAGATAAAAGGTGCCGGTAAATCTGTTAGGTTTTATAGTTTTCCAAAGGACTCGGTAGTGGAAAAACTGTGGGTTATTTCTTGTTGCCGTAAAGACAAATTAAATACTAAAACCTCAAGGATTTGTTCCAAACACTTTAAGCCGGAAGACTTTAAAAGAAATTTGAATCAAAGAAAGGACCAAAACTGAATGGTGATGCGGTTCCTTCTCTTCATCTACCATAAACAAAAAGCAATCTGTATATCAGAATTAAGAAATTAAACCTAAAACTTACAGAAGATATAAGAAATAAAAAAAAAATAATAAAAATTTTAACTTAAAAGCTTGTGTTCGATTTGTTTTCCGATTTTAGTGCAGATAATTAATGATAAATTAGTTTCTTCCTGACGCCAAATAAGACAATACTATCAAAAGCTAGCTCGTAAAATTTACGAAGATTACCTTTCCAGGATTAAAAAGCGAAAAACACAAAAAAACTCCCAAATTTATTTTACAGATTTATTTTTTTTTCACTGTATCATTATTTTTTTCAATCAAAATAATAAAATACCTATATTTTATTTAATCTGGAATAGTTCAATAGAAACTCTATTAATCCATTAAAATGACTTTTTATTGCCAATTAAAAATTAATTGTGTTCTGATTGCTAACGTTCTTACGGGGAATATTTAAAATCACTCTCATTGTGACGTCATGCGCAAACTCGTCCCAATTTCTCTCTCGGGAGTATCATACCTGTTATTCTTTTTACCATGGGGCTGTGTGGATTGAACAGTTAATATGCTGGAAAATAAAATTATTTTTGGGAAAAATTTCCCTAACCAATGGCAACATCACATTACCTAATATATGTAAATAGGTTTCAGTATTGAATGGTCCTTCAATTCTTTAACACATTACTAAACCTCCTCTATACATCCAAGCCCAAACATTTATAGAGAACCGTCCGGACTTATCACTTGATGAAATATAGTTTTCGTTAAACCTATTTCGAGGCGGTCTATAAACCTTAATATGGCCATCATAATGAGACTGGAATACTTTTTCATCCGTAAAAATTACACAATCTCAAAAATTGACTGGATCATTTAAAACGTAATTTAAAGTAAATAGGAGTCTACTTTGTGTTACTCGCTAAATTTGTATTTTCATTTTTTGGGCGGCTGCATAATTTTTTTAATCTAATCTTCTTATTCTCCAGTAGAATCTCCAAACTACATCATTAAGTAGTTATAGAAGTTTGCATTAACCTTTGCTTGCCTTGGCGTATGGAAGGGATACGCTCTTAAATAATTAGTTAGTGTTTTATCTTGTTGAGCTGTAGTAATAACTGGTCTCCCACTCCCTCTACGTCTATTCAAAGTCTGCTCGTTTTCCTATCTTTTTTTGATGTTGTGGATTGTGGTTTTTTTTTAATTATTTTTAAAATTCTTCTCTTTTTATCAAGCTGACTTAACTGACATGGCATCTTTAAAAATTCACTTTGACAAACTTGTCAAATCTGACTGATGGCAAGCAATATTTTTTATGTTTAATTTTTATGTTTAATTGTCGGATATTATGTTCGGGAAGTTTTCACGCACTGATAACATCTGTAGATACTAAACCAACATTTTTCATTTATAAGAGGATTTTTTACAGTCATAAGAGAATAATGTAATACTGTCACGTTTTGAAAATCATTTTTCGTCCCAGTTTATAATCTACGTAGGATAAACTATAATGTTAGTTGTTCACATTTATCGTTAATGTAATAAATAATAAATTAATTTAGGTAGTTTGACAGTTACCAAATTTATTGACATAACATACAGTTAACAGTTTATGTTCTGTAAGTAATTGAAGTATAAAATTACAGTAGATGCATTCCAATATTCCCTGTGCCCTAAATTTAAATATCGTTATATCGTTTCACCATTTTGGACATTAACTCAATCTTCTTTCTGGTTATTAAATTTATTAGATACGGTTTTTTGTTGTTAATAATAAAAATAATACCTATCTAAAAACTTTATACATTTTTGAACGTTATTTTTTACGTTTTACGTTTTATTTAATTTAACTGAAATTCCGATATCTGTGATGGCAACAACGAATTGATCCATGAACCATTGCGTCCAGTCTGTACACAGGTTTACATTGGGAAAAAAAGTGTACCAGTTTTATATGACGGGAAGTGTACATAACCTGAACCAAAGTATCTAATATGATAAAATAAATATTAACACAATAGGTGGAAATTAAGAATCTGGGCAAATTAATGTAAGAATCATATTGGGAGCAAGCAAGCTAGTAAGGGAATCGGTGCTCCCAATTAGAAGTTTCAAGCAATGAATAGAACAAAATAGCATAGGAAGCTTAGGGAAATTTAGATTCTATTGACTGTAGAATCGTCATTATGAGGAATATAATATATTATTGTATTTACCAATGTTATATTAAATATCTATTTTGTAGTTACTTTTTTATCAATTTGTTATTTTAAATATTAAGCCATCTAATGGTAGTCATATAATATACACTCTTTGGTGTCTTGTATAGTCATTCGTTTTATTTTCTCGGACATAATATGACTTTTGTCTGTAGGTTTACATCAAAATTCAATAATGGATCAAATCGCGATGCAGAAAATGGCCGAAGGGATGACACTTGTTGCCAGGTGTAAATATGATGGACACATAGTAGGAGCAGCTATCAACGAATCGTCGAATCCTTGGGATCCCGATTTAAAAGAAAAACTGGCTTGTCATATCAACTGCCCACAAATGAAACATTGGCTTCTTTTTCAAGTAAATATGTTTGAATTTAACATTTCCTTAATTTATTCATTAAATAAATTATATGTGTAATTACTAATGCCAAAATATAATTCCCGCTCTTATGTTATGTATAAAACAACTGTTTCATCTCTTGTTTTGACTATGCAAATTATTTCTTTTGCAATTATATTTAATATTATGTGGAATATGTGCATTAATATAAAATGATTTTTGCGAATTAGTATTTTTTCATCTCTTATCAGTCCGAATGAAAGGAATAAATTCTTTATTTCATTAAAATTCGACTTTAAGAAAAATTCCTGAAATATCCCTTAAAATAAAAATTCGTCAATTTTTATTTTTAAATAGGCTATTCTTAAGGATAACTTTTTATTTTTAACGTCATCTATGTTACCGTGATGCCGTCATTACTAAAATTTTTAAATAAAAATGAGAGTGTTGTAGAATGTGTACGTAATTGATTTGTGTATTTTCACAAATATTATTGTTCATGAAATTTTAACAGATTTCTTAATAAAATATATTAAATATTGGTATGATGTATTTATTGACACCCAAAAATACATTTTCTAAAGGCCGTTACTGATAATGAAATCTCTTATCTACCTACTTTTTACTTTTTAAAAAATCTAGTTACCTTGTCAATATTAACATTGATACTTGGATATTTAAACAAAATTACCTTTTTGTCAAGTGATTACTAATATTATTGTAGTAGACGTATTCAAAAAGTCCTTGTATCTATCAACATGATGTTGACTGAAACACAAAGAATTAAAATTGTTATAAGAATTAGTTGTGAATATAAATCACGTACGCAGAAAAAAGGATGTACGTTATTTATTATTAAATATCCCAACCAAGAACAAAGTTTATAATCCACTGTAACCAAAATTAAGATGAAATTCAGAGAAACAGGTCATGTCAAATACCTCCTTAAAGATAATTCCCATAACAGTTCAGAGTATGTAGCATTAGATAATGACGTAAACCATTCAACAGTTTTTAGAATGCCGAAGCTTAGAAAGCTACCGAACTGATAAAGGAAAGTAGCATTCCTACAAAATAAGTTTAGTACAAGAACTTATGTAAGATGATTTAATACAATATGGCAATTATAATCGAACAAAATAATTTTTAAGAGATTTTTAAAAAAGGTTCTTTTCTCTGATCAAGCTACATTTCTGCTAAACGGTCATGTTGATCGTCAAACTTATTGGTACTGGTATACGGAAAATTTACACTGGATGCAAGAGTACCATACTCAATACCAAGAGAAAGTTAATGTTTGAGCTGGAATAATATAATCGAATAATTGAACCATACTTTTTCGAAGTAACCTTAACAGGTCCTCGATATTTAGAATTTCTTCAAAACTCCTTACTTCTCGAATTGAACCTGTTGTTTTCAAACAGAAATGATTGATATCTGCAGCAAGATTATGCTCATCCACAGATTATGCTCATCTATGACAGATTGTTGCGCAATTACTTAAACAACCGCTTTCCAAATGGGGAAATAGGTCGAAGAGGAGCAATAGAATGGCCGCCTAGGTCACCTGATTTGACTCCTCTTCAATTATTTTTATGAGAATACTTGAAAAGTTAAGTGTACTAAAATAGACCACAAAATACCAGTGAACTAAAAGAAAGAGTACTTATTGAGGTTGCATAAATACCTCCGGAAGTTATAGAGAGGGTTCGAGAAGAGTTTGCGGAACGTCTTTCTTATTGTATTTTAGCTAAACATAAACAATTTAAGCACTTAATTTAGGTGTAGTTTACTGTATTCAATGACTAATACATAATACATATTTTTTGTAATAAAACAATTATTAGTTATTTAAACAAATACAAACATCAATTACTCAAACATATTGATATGACTGAATAGGTAGTTAAAAGACTCTTTAAAATATTTTATTAGAACACACACATTTTCATTTAAAAATTTTAGCAATGATTTCATCACGCTCACATAGATGACGGCAAAAATAAAAAGATATCCTTACGAAGGGTACGTTTAAAAATAAAAATCAACGAGTTTCAGGATATAATATAATATAAATACAAACATCAATTACTCAAACATATTGATATGACTGAATAGGTAGTTAAAAGACTCTTTCAAATATTGTATTAAAACACCAACATTTTCATTTAAAAATTTAGCAATGATGTTAATGTTAAAAATCCTGAAACCGTCGTCGGTTTACCAACTAAATAATTTATCCCTTTCATTTGCACCATACCATATATTCGAGATGTTCAGGTAAATCTAACTCAGCTTCGTCACTTGCGTCTAATTTAGTTATTAAATTTGTTTAATTGACTACGATTTACTAAGACATTCACGTATAAATCGAAACAATAAGTTTATTTTAAAGTTTTTCTATTTCCGTCTATTCTGCATTTAACAAATATATCAGATTTGGTTTTCTATTTTGTCTCAATGCTTTTCCAAAAATTGTTCGTAAGGATCTCTTTATCTACGTTTTAAATATTAATTTTGTTTCTGCTGTATATGTACAGATAACGACATTGTTTTGTTAACCATACAAAGATAGATTTATTGCAATCCCATCTCTAGAATATATTGATTATAATGCTCTAAAACTAATTTTTTGGATATTTTTTAGCCCTAATAGCAGTACAAATAAATATATAAGTAAGCAAATTAGTAATATATGCTTTATTGCCACTGAAAATTGTACAAATTTTATGGACAAAGTGTATAACAATACGACAAGAAAGAAGAAAAAAAAATTAGAATAAGAATCGTGTGTACTTTTAAATAAAAAAATAACTATAAATTCTTCCAAACATAAAATACATCAAAAATACTATAGACGTTTTCATCGTTCTTGGCGTGTGCGTGTAAAAACACTTGCAATAAGTTGTTTCATCTGTCTTTCCTTGTCTAAGCTCGATTCATTTACCTCCTCCAGTGGCGAAGCAAAATGTAGCATGTCAAACGAAATAATAGTTATATAAGAAAATTATAAATTATTTTTCATTAAATTTCTAATAACGGAATATATGTATAAATTGCGAAGAAGTATTTTCTAGCTTGCAGTAAAATAGGATAGGATATAACGAAAAGTAGGTACATTTTAAAAGGATTTTGAAATATACCCAAAAAAGTGTTAATTATTTAACCCACTTTAATTAAAAAATGATACAGATTTTTTAAGTTTTAAGCACTGCGCACTATAGCGAATTCTGAACTGTTACAACGTACTGACCTTGATTAATTAGCTAATCAGTCAGCGTCTTCACTGGAACTGTCTTCATCATTGAAATCTTCCGCCAAATCGATGATAATCCTACTTTCATTTACATCATATGTGACCATTTTTGCCCAGTCGTCCTGAATTAATTTTTCAGTATGGTTAACACAACTCGCCCACACTGCAGGTGTTGCCTCAGCTAATGCATCGCCCCAAACTGGATTCACTGTCTCATCTCCACGTCCATGTTCTCCAATATGACGATCATAGTATTGTTTAGAAATGCCCCAGACCAACTTAATCGGATTATATTGACAGTGATATGGAGGCAACCTCAAAACCTAATGCCCATGTTCTTGGAGTAGCTCGTCTATAACGTACCTGGTATTTTGTGGTTTATTCTGGCGACAAAGACTCAATAGCTCTGTCTTGCCCGAATCGTCGTCAAAAATTATTTTTTTCGCTCGTAACCATTCTTGTAAGTGCAATTTTTCCCAACTGGCATTCGGCAACTTTTCTATTAAAGATCTTTGGTATGAGGCATTATCCATAATAATTAAAGATGGTTCCTTCAACATTGGTATCAGCTTTTCGGAGACCCACTTTTTAAAAGAGTCTTTATCCATAGAATCATGATAGTATGCACTCTTTGATTTCGTAGAAAACAGTAATCCAGCATCTTTAACAAATCATGCCTACTTCCGGCATGTAAAACAACAGAGCGTTTATCTGTATTTTCGTGTCCTTTTCTAATGCTTTTTACACAGTCATCTTGCCAAGTACGTTTATATGCCTCTTTTAGGAATATCCATGTTTCATCTTAAAAACGAACTGAAGTGGGCTTGGACTTAAAAAATTTCTCATATAATTCTCCAAAAAATACAGTCGTTTGGAGACAATACATAGTTTCTTACAGAGCACTCGTCTACTATTTTCTAGTTTGTATGAAAACCCACAATTTTTCATAAGACGCCACAAACATGTATCAGAACCGTCATAGAGATGCTTGTTTCTTAATTGTGTATTTAGAACTTTAATTGTAATGTGCTATCCTTTTGCTTTCATGTCATACAGTACATTTCTAATCTCTCCTTTTATAGTATCGCTGACATCATTAGTCTTTTTTTTTGTACATTACGTGACTCTCCTGGTGTAGTAAGAGCTGCCCCTGTCTTGTATTCATTCTTTATTCTTGTCACTGTGCTAAGACTGATTTTCAAAGCGTCCGCTACTCGTTCATGTACCGATGATAACGAAAGCAAAGGTCCGTTGTTTTCTTTTTCGTTTTTAAAATACTCCTATAAATGAACTACACATTGTTGCATTTCTCCTGTTATCGTTTTTCCCGGCATTTTTTATTAAATAGAACAATTAGTTATTCACAATAAAAAATAATAAGTAAAACTGTTCGGAACAAATTCCAAAAATGACTGACTAAAATCGACTAAAATAACATAAAATATCAATGGTAATTGCTACAATTATAAACCTATTAGCCAGCTCATTCAAGAACAATGCCACAAGTCATTATTGCAATGGGTATCGAAAGAGAGAGAGTTAATTTATAATAAACTGGAATTTTTAAGGTGTCGAGAGTATTATTTTATGTAATGAAATTCCACACAGTAAGAGCTCAAACTGTTAATTAATTAAAAACTGTTTACTTATAAAAACTATTTCATCAGCTACTTCAAACCTGCACAGATCAGGGTAACATGTTAAAAAAAACACGTCACTGGCAGTTATCTGTATTCGCAAAGAGGCCGAACTTATCACCGAC